GCCACACCAGCCATCTTCGACGGCGTACCATCCGCAGACGAACGGGCTGACGGAACGTCTAAACAAGACCATCGCCGACATGATCGCTATGTATGTCGACATGGAGCACACGCAGGAACTGCCGTGTTGCCTACAACACGGCAGTTCAAGAGACGCACTGGAGTTACATCTTTCAGGCTGGTACATGGTCGAAAAGTAACGACCATGCTGGACACTATGCTGCCCCACGAGCCGGGTGACGATTGGAGCGACGACGCCCAGATGGTTGCTCAACGGGCCCAAGAAGTCCTCCAGCTCGCCCGACTCCGGATTCAAAACCAGCAGCGTGTCGACGCTGGCCGCTGCATGTAGCGGCCAGCGTCTCCGGGCTGGAAGTGAACGTCCCAACGACGAAGGTTGCAACCTTCGTCGTTGGGACGTTCACTTCCAGCCCGGAGACAGGGTGTGGATGTGGACAGCCATTCGTCGCCACGACTTCAGCGCAAAACTGTTCAAACGGTACTTCGAACCGTACAAGGTACTTCGTCGCCCTGGTGCTCAACTACGAAGTGGTGCCCAATGAAGTACAAACATCATCACAATGCCGACTACGACCCGAGGTGGTTCAGGTCATTAGACCTAAGCCGTTCTATGCTCGGTAGCACTGAAGACTTTTCGTTTTCCAGAAGACTGTAGCTTACCAATAATTTGTTTTGTTTTATCATATGTTGCATCGGGGGTGGTACGCTTTTAAAGGGGGAGTAATGCCGCGTGCATGATCGAGAATATACTCTTCTCCATTCATCTAGAAGATTCGCCTACTCTTACACAGACCGTAAACAATAAGGATGCCAAAGTGACCTTGTCCAGTCAGTCCCGCTCTAATTCTTTCCCGAACATTCTAGGTCGAATATTCGAGACGACGAGCAGAGTAGATAAAGAGCCGAGTGCCGTAATGAACCCAATTAAATCACAGATTCTCTCTCGCGATAACCAGCTGATATGGCTCGTTCACACTTGCGGATTAGCAGGCGGGTCTGCGAAGAAATTGACGCCGTGGGGAATCCCTTCGCCGGCGATGGAATATTCGTACGCAGGAGCAACTGGTCCAGGGCGGATTCTTCCCGCGCAGAAAAGTTTTCAATCCGCGGCAGCCAATCGGAATGCAAGGAGGAAATGGCGCTTGCCGGCGTCACACCATGGCTGAGCCAGCCTAGCCGCCCGAGTTGTTGGAGTTGCCGCCGAAGTTATCGGAGTTCCCAAGTTATGCAAATGGCGCCGCCTCGCTGGTATCGTTGTGTTGGCAGAAATGCTGATCGAGACTCAAGTATTCAACTCTGTTCGATAAGAGACCTCTGAGCAACGAAGACAGCGCCCTTAAAGGAGATCTGTGGAGTAAAATTGGCGCACGTTGTCTCCGTTTGCTCGTTATTTTTAATGCGAAAGCATTAACTGTCTCATAGAGCGAGCCGACGTCATCAGCTTTGAAACCGCGCCAAACGGCTCTTAAATCCTTCTCCAAGTCAAGCCAGCTCCCAGCTATGAAAACACGCGCAAAGCTAGCCAACGGCACCTTTCACACTTCGGTCCCATTGGCTGGCGCGCGTCGACCAGGCTCCCATTCTCCGGACACGCAGCGCCATGGGGTGGACGGTCGTTGAAACTGAAGCTATTGCCGTCTCTTATCGCCGGGACTTATTTTCGACCACTCGAGCTATGGGCAGTCTGCTCTGATATCCGCGAGAGACCGGAGCCGCGCGAACGCGGCGGGTGGCAACAAATGTGAACGGTGCCATGTTTTCTCGCCCAGTAAATTCGGTCGGCGACAAGAGGGCTCTTCGCAAGTGTGAACGCGGTTTTAAGCCGGCGCACCGTCGCTGGCTGCTGCCGTCGTCGGCGCTCTCTGCTGCCATCTCGACGTGTGTTCTTATTTCTCGTTTCTGGAACAAGTTCGCCGCCCAATAAATCTTTAGTTTGTTCCGTTTTCTACTGCTTTATCGTCAGCCATTCATGCCACTATAACGAAGTAGACATTTATCCAAAAGGAACGAAACACCACGAGTGGCCAAAAGAGGTTAATTTCACCAAGATCGAATTGGGTAATGTACTTTGAAGTCGGGAGTTGTACCCTCTGAATGTACTAGAAATAAATACATTAAGTAAAGTACGAGACATACTTAGAGAATGTACTTCAAGTAAAGTACAAGTTTTCTGAACCCACTTAACTAGTACTTTAAGTACAATGAACTTAAAGTACAGTGCTAATCACACTTGTCTATAACGCGCGAGCGTGCGGCTTTCTCCGGGGAGCGCTAGACTGGTGGCATTCGCGGAAACTAGGCTAGTCACGTGGCGCAACATGGAACGGCCCGCTCGAGGGGTGTCGTGCCCACTCTATCAGCTTGATAAGCGATAAAAGTAAAGTGGTCTATGATATATTCTTGTTTTTTGATGACGACAACGTTGATACGCCTTCATGCTTTAGCTTGTTTATTGTTCGAGCAATGATGTTTGTAAAAAGCGTGCGAGCAGCCTTCCGCATTCGCCGCCAGCTGATAGAGTGCGTAGGACACCCCTGGAGCGGGCCGTTCCATGTTGCACCACGTGACTAGCTTAGTTTCCGCGAATGCCACCAGTCTAGCGCTCCCCGGAAAAAGCCACACGCTCGCGCGTTATAGACAAGTGTGATTAGCACTGTACTTACCCATACTGACAGAAACTGCGGAACCAGCTAAAATGTAGAATGGCTTATCCTTCCTTGTTTGGGTATTCGTGAAGAGGATGATCACGCTCTTGGATAACTTATTTGAAGGTACTGCGCTTCTATCCATCCCTATATTTCCGACAAGTAGATCTGCAGGTAGTATGAGTCCGTAGGCGATGGGATGGGTGCCAGCAGAGGCGTGTCGTCAGCATATATACTGAAGTAGAAGACATACGTCGTGCCTAGGAATGTCGTTAAAGTACAGCAGAAACAGGGTCGGATCAAGTACCGAGCCCTGTGGAACTGCAGACTCGACCATTAACGGTGCAGAACGCGCTCCTCTGTAGACAACTTGCCAGTTGTTACCGCGGAGAAATCATGAGAGTCCGACAAGAATAGGGCCCTGGAAGCCGGTCTGGGCAAGCTTCAAAGCGAGAAGTTCTATTTCTTGTGTGTCGAGTACGTTACTGAGATGGAGTTGAATGAGGTCCTTAGGAATGCGTTCGTCCATGTACTTGCTCACAAAATATGTCACAGTAGCCAGAGTCGTCTCACAACTACGGTTGTGGCGGAAACCACTGTGAGAAGCGAACAGGCTGCCAGGCGTCTCCAGGAATTTGAGGAGAGCTTCCTGATAAGACGCTCAAATGTACGGGCACAGTCGAGGTGGTCGAAACAAGGGAATGATGCTCGTCTGCAGATTTCCCTTTTCTATTCTGCAGAGGATGATCAGAACATGGCGCCTCTCCTTTGGGACAACTACACTATCGAAAAGTCTCTTCAGCAAACGGCGAGTGGCTGGTAGCAAGTTCGAAGATAACATCTTGAAAAATTTAGGTGCGGCGCCGTCTGGCCCCGCAACGGTAATTCTTTATTTTGAAGGTTACTGGTTTGAAGGTTATTTTGATGTCGCTGTAGGTTACTGATGAGAGTTCAGGCTGGTTATGCTCGCTACTTTCATCTTTGGTCGCTAGTTGCAGAGTCAGGGCTTCTCTTGGTTGCCGGTCAGACGGCCCTGAAAGAGAGTGTCCCTATCGAAAGAAGTATACTTTATGAGCGAAAAGCAGTCCGCATAAAGTCCGGCGACATCCGCGGCGTGAGTGGACAACACTTCCGTTCACCTTTAAGCAGCGTGGCTGAAATGTTGAGCGTAGGCGGCTCACGTAGGCCAAAAACCTATGAGGTCACTTTTGACCTTAGCTACGATGTCGCTTATATATTTTTTGTTGAGCACATGCAGTACATAGCTGTCTTCAGGGCTTGTTCTGTGGTTCGTTTTCACGTGCCGTGCTTCCGGACATTGTGAACGGCGTGCTTTCCGGAAAAGCAGTCGCTTGGGACGGGCGGCTCTGATAAATATCCCCCAAAAAATCCATGGTGAACAGTTTCGTGTCTTGATGAGCACAGAGATCTAGGAACACATTCTTTCTGTATGGTGAAGATAAAATCGCACCACAAATCATAGTTTGTTGACAAGTTCGACCATGACGTGTCGTGCGCAAGCTGAGTCATGTGGCTGAAGTCTAGTTGGCCGAACTAGTTGTGCGAGTGAGGCTACGGGACGACCATCTTGCAGGTACCAAAATCGACTAACTGGAGCGGTGCAGAGGCTGGGTGGCAGCGTGCTGAGGACATGTTTTCTCCTCGTTCGTCGTCATTCGCGGAAGTTGTTTTTTTTTCCCTTTGAGAACACGTGAAAATTTTTACGAAAGCGCACCATCGCAGAAAAAAAGGCACAACACGTCGAACACAAGTCTCGCCCGTCTCGCCCCGGTGTGATTAAAGCTTCTTTAGCACTCCGAAGTGCTGAGTCTCTCTGCCTTTGTACGCTTGGATACCGAGCAAAAATCGACGCCGGGTTAAACGTTTGAATGTGCGTCGCGCATAGATGACTTTGCATCATATATAGGCCACAAAGTTCTACACCTGCTCCGGCGAGTTGCTATCACTAAAGCACTCCGTGGAACCATGATTGTGAGGGCCGACCTTGAAAGTTCTAATCACATCGCAAATTATTTGAAAATTAAAACCAGGGGCGTTTGAAGTATTTTTCAGTTGGGGAAAAGGAGGGAGGGGGTGCACAGAAATAAAGATTTTTGTTCTACTGATTTGATCGCCATACGTGTCTAGACAAAAAGAAAAACGCACCGCCTTCGCTACAATAAAAGGAATAAAAGTAACGCGCTGCTGCTCCATGCGATTGCGAAATTGTGGCATTGCCTCATTAATAGTCATTTTCTTTTAAAATGAAGAACGAAATCGCGCTTTGTGCTGGCTTTGAATGTGTATACCTTCCCAAATAAGTGCTGAAACTTACTGTCCATCCTCCGCCATCGGTGTCCATGTCACAACTCACATAGAAATTTGTGTGAAGACTGATAACATAATCTCCGGAAATTTTATATCCCTTCCGTCGTAACTGGGCACAGCTTACTGTTCGGTTGCCAGCTGCAAAGAAAAAAGCGTGAAGCAGACGTTCCTTATAAATTTTGCAAACAGAGCAACTGTAGCAGAAACTGCCGGGAGCGTCCATTGATGCTCCCCAGGAATTCTTAGTCTCAAGTGGTCAGAGCTGCAAGGCAAAAGACACCACAGTGCTTTTTACTCTTACTAAAAAGAAAAGCTCATCCTATACTTTGTTTCGCCTTGAAAAGGGCCACTGGCAACCCCAACATCATTACTTTCAATGTTCTCAAACGCCTCAACAGCGCGTAATAACGACTTTAAAAATTTTTATTTTTGGAAAACAAATGATCAGCATAGACACCCGGCTTAATATCCTCTTCCTCTTCCTCCAGGTCGGTAAGGCAGAGGGGGAGGAATATATATATATATATATATATGGGTGATTTCATCTCAAATCGGGCAGGCTAAAAGGGTCTAATTTTTAATTTTCACGAAAAAAATATATGTTTTTGGGGTATTTCTCAAATGATGGAGCGCGCAAACCGCATGTTCTCCCGATTTTTTGTTCTCGAGTTACGAGCCGTAGAAGCCGCAGTGGCAGAAACTAGTGTTTTTGCCTGCCGTCGCAGGTCGCGTGTTTGACACCCTCTGCTGACGTTATTGTATTCTCTACACCCTTCTAACTTTTCCCCATCATTTAATAGGTATTATAAAAATACCTTGATGTATTCAAATATTTTTAGGAATTTGATTGTTTTCTAAAACACAGGTCAAACTCGTCACTCCGGTCGCTTTTCGGTTAAATTTAACAGGTCATTACTTTGTCTGTACTTAAGGTAAATTTTCTTTCTTTGGCTCTACAGAAAGCCCAAAGCAAGCCCATTATAGATATCATAATATTATTATGATCTGTCGACTAGCCGCTCCGCTACCTTCACGTAAACGTTGTAAGAAATAACAAATGTTGAAAGTTTGAGATCGATTTTCTCAAAAAACCCATTTTTGTAAATTTTTATTTTTTAAATTCTTTTAGACATATAGTCGACTACAAGAAAACACAGTCTAGAAATGTAATATTTTGGTTGTATGTCCTCTGTTTGAGCCGCAATCGCGTGAAATATGTGAACATTTGTTATTTTTCACAACGTTTACGTGAAAGTAGCGGAGCGGCTACTTGGCAGATAATAATGATATTATTATATCTATAATGGGCTTGCTTTGGGCTTTCTGTAGAGCCAAATAAAGAAAATTTACCTTAAGTACAGACAAAGTAATGACCTGTCAAAATTGACCGAAAAGCGACCGGAGTGACGAGTTTGCCATGTTTTTTAGAAAACAATCAAATTTCTAAAACTATTTTGAATACATCAAGGTATCTTTATAATACCTATTAAATGAGGGGGAAAAGTTAAAAGGGTGTAGAGAAAACAATAGCGCCAGCAGAGGGTGTCAAACACGCGACCTGCGACGGCAGGCAAAAACACTAGTTTCTGCCACTGCGGCTTCTACGCTTCGTAACTCGAGAACAACAAATTTGGGGAAGTTGCGGTTTGCGCTGTCATTCATTTGAGAAATGCCCCTAAAACATATATTTTTTTCGTGAAAATTAAAATTAATACTTTTTTAATCTGCCTGATTTGAGATGAAATTTCCCATATCGGGCAGGCTGAAAGGGTCCAGCTTTTAATTTTCACGAAAAAAATTTATGTTTTAGGGGCATTTCTCAAATGAATGACAGCGCATACCGCAAGTTCCCCAATTTTTTTGTTCTCGAGTTACGAAGCGTAGAAGCCGCAGTGGCAGAAACTAGTGTTTTTGCCTGCCGTCGCAGGTCGCGTGTTTGACACCCTCTGCTGGCGCTATTGTTTTCTCTACACCCTTTTAACTTTTCCCCCTCATTTAATAGGTATTAAAAGATACCTTGATGTATTCAAATAGTTTTAGGAATTTGATTGTTTTCTAAAAAACATGTCAAACTCGTCACTCCGGTCGCTTTTCGGTCAAATTTGACAGGTCATTACTTTGTCTGTACTTAAGGTAAATTTTCTTTATTTGGCTCTACAGAAAGCCCAAAGCAAGCCCATTATAGATATAATAATATAATTATTATCTGCCGAATAGCCGCTCCGCTACCTTCACGTAAACGTTGTGAAAAATAACAAATGTTCACACATTTCACGCGATTGCGGCTCAAACAGAGGACATACAACCAAAATATTACATTTCTAGACTGTTTTTTCTTGTAGTCGACTAATATGTCTAAAAGAATTTAAAAAATAAAAATTTACAAAAATGGGGTTTTTGAGAAAATCGACCTCAAACTTTCAACATTTGTCATTTCTTACAACGTTTACGTGAAGGTGGCGGAGCGGCTAGTCGACAGATCATAATGATATTATTATATCTATAATGGGCTTGCTTTGGGCTTTCTGTAGAGCCAAAGAAAGAAAATTTACCTTAAGTACAGACAAAGTAATGACCTGTCAAATTTGATCGAAAAGCGATCGGAGTGACGAGTTTGACATGTGTTTTAGAAAAGAATCAAATTTCTCAAAATATTTGAATACATCAAGGTATCTTTATAATTCATTAGGGGGGAAATTTAAAAGGGTGTAGAGAAAACAACAGCGTCAGCAGAGGGTGTCAAACACGCAACCTGCGACGGCAGGCGAAACACTATAGTTTCTGCCACTGCGGCTTCTACGGCTCGTAATTCGAGAAGAAAAAATCGGGAGAACATGCGGTTTGCGCCCTCCTTCATTTGAGAAATACCCCCAAAACATATATTTTTTTCGTGAAGATTAAAAATGAGACACTTTTAGCCTGCCCGATTTGAGATGAAATCACCTATATGTGTATATATATATATATATATTTTTTTTTTTTTTTTTTTTTCCTGCGGCAGTTTTTAGGGGCCTGCTCCCCGGTTTCGCTATGGCGTGAGCGTAAATGAAAAGTTTACCTGCTAAGTTTGGCCGGAAAATTAATGCCCCATGAACTGACGTCACGGGAACTATAAAAAACTTGAGGTTCCCCTCTAAATTTTGTGGCTAAATGCACGTCACATGACCCTCACACAATTCAAATTTCCCGCTACATTTAGCAGAAACATTAACATCACGTGAACTATGCCCCAATTCAGTTCCCCCCTAAATTTGGCGGGAGAATCGATGTCACGTGACCAATGCACCTATTCAGTTTCCACGCTAAATTTGGCGGGAAAATTGATGTCACTGACGTCACGAGACCTACAGACAAGTTCAGGTTCCGATCAACGTCCATTTGACACAATCAGAATCGTTGTTCCTCAATTGGAGCTAGCTTTGAGCACGCGCTGCAACTAGCATCCAACAATAGGGAGTTTTAGTAGACCGTGTTTCCCCCTCCGTAAACCCCTTCGCTACCCGGAACTCCACAGCCAAGGCCACCGACACGCAGGCGCAGTGGCGGTTTCTTCGTTGAGGTGGGTTAGCGGTGGGGGAAACTTGGTCTAGTAAAACTAATATAGCGTCCCGTGAAGATCGGGAGAGGGAGAGAGAGAGAGAGAGAGAGAAAGGGAGCAAGAGATTATGCGTCAGCTCCGACACGGCTACTCCCAGAATGCCTCGCTCGCACAGTTTGCTTCCGGAACGACGGCTCGTCCGATCGGCGCGATCAGAGAACTTCGTTCAAAGAAATACAACAATCCGATCACCATTTATCCATATGATTCCCGTATTTGGGCGCTGTAACAGCCCGGGAAGCCCGTTTGGGCGTTAGTTTTGAAACTTCACATTTCGGTTCAGTATCCCTATAAAGCACCGTTCGGCCTGTGTGGCGACAAGGGGAGCCCTTTTTACAGGTACCGTACTTTTTGAAGCGCCGGCTGCGTGACGGGGCAAGATTTAGCCCGGTCCTTAGTTATGTTAGTAGTTATTTGGGCTCTCATCTGGACACTTGGCAAAACGTCGACGAGGAATTAGGCCACCGTGATTGGCTGGCGCCATGGTCAAGCGGGGCGTCAGCCATTCACGGCAGACGAATTCTTCGATGACTTGTTCACCAAGTGCACAGATAAGAGGCCCTGGTGTGGAAACTTCGGCGGTCGCTGCCCTTTTGCTCTGTTTTCATGTAAAGGGAAACTGAAGCGGTTCTGTATATGACGAGACACGCATAAATCGTTTCCGTTTTGCTTCCAGGATCACGAAGGTCGAGATTATTTCTCAATTCTCAATTTTGTGCACGGAGGCTGCAGGAATTCATTTTTCAAAGCACCTCTGAAGCCCCCCCCCCCCCCCCCCCCCCCCCCCCTTCTCTGTTCCCGGGGCTTGACTTCATACTAGGATTTCTCGGAATCTCCCCTCTCGAGCACATTTTCAGCGCCTACCAAAGCTATACACACGCACTCTCGCTATTTTCAAAACAAGATCAGAGAGAGACGTCACGACTGGTGTCAGTGCGGGGAAATATACCTGGTAAGCTCGCAATTGCAACGCGCTGCCCACACGAGCGACACACGCTTGGCCTTGCGCAACAAAGATACTAATAGGACGTCACAACTGGTCGGAGGTTTTTGTGTCTTCTGGTGACTAGTTGCATCTTCTGAGAACACGAACGTGATGTATAAATTCAAGAGATAAAAATTCGACCAAATTCACCTCTAACCGATTTTTTTTTTTTTTTCAAAAAAGTGTTTCAGCTTATTTTTAAGGTGCAACCCTACCGTGCATGACGTTTTGGTCCGTTTTTTGACGGTTTATAACTTTGTTTCTATGTATCCTAGTCATAAAGTCAATGTCAAATGAAATCACTGTTTTCAACAATATTTAATGTCTCAATACTGCAACTATTCTGAGTCCTTAATTTCTTATTCAGCTTTTAACAGACCGCACTCTCTAATACTAATATATATATATATATATATATATATATATATATATATATATATATATATATATATATATATATATATATATATATATTTCTCGAGTTATCGACTCGGTAGAAGCACACATTATATCATTGGCATTGAATCCTGGCTGGATGATAGTGTCAGTGATGCT